AGTGCCGGCCATCGCGCACTTCTGCTCGCTCTTCCGCACCGCCTTCCGCCTGCCCGACTTCGAGATCGAGGTGAGTCCGGTCCCCGGCGGGTCGGGGCTGGGAGGGTGGGTGCGGGGCAGCCCGGCGCCGAAGGCGGCCAGGAGGGTGCTGGTCCCCCGCGGAGTGCAGCAGCTGGAGGGCGCTGCCAGCTCCCCGAGGCTCTTTTCCAAACTTCCCGGGGGGGGCGGGAGGCAGCAGGATGAATGGAGGTGGGGTGTGGGAGATGCTACTGGGTCAAAACAAGGGATCCGGGGGTGGGAGGAGGAAGGGGTAAGATGTGGAGGGGACACGTTGGGAGTTGATGGGAACTCCTTCACCACAGAAGAAATCAATCCAGTTTGAGGGGCGCTCCTGATCCCGGTGCGTGAGTCTGCCACCCACGCGGGCAGCAGGCAGCCCTGAGGTTTTCTTCCCCCTGCCACTAGGCAGCACATGTGATGCCTTATCTGGAAACTTGTGCATTCAAGAGCACGGACTGGTGTTGCCTTCCCCAAACACGACCCAAAATGGTGGCCGTGATAGGGAGGAGCTTGTCCTGCGGTGACCTGTGCTAGTGTCACCCTGGGCTGGAGACATGAAAGAAAGCAAACCTTGGGATGGGGCTGAGAGCGCCCTGTGCGGGTTTGATCAAGCCGGGCGGTCGGCATTGTTGAAACGGGACCGCACAAAGAAGGGAGTTGCATCGAGTGCTGTGAAGTTGTCCAGTCTCTTCAGCTCAACAAAAAAACCCAGCTTCTTTCCTCCATCAGGGGTTGGATGCTCCCTTCTGGAGTCGGGGACAGAGCGCATGTTTTCAGAACTGCCTGCTGAAGTGCTCCGAAAACTTCCTGTTGGGGCGATTGATGTATTAGAGGAACGTTTATTCATTGTGCAACTTCCAAAGAATTTCTATAGAGGGCAGAATGGAAATTTCAATGAAGTCATAAAAGCCACAGATGCTGCGTCTCCCTGCAAGAGATAGAAGGATCGTTATTTTCTAAGTTGGGACACGTTTTCAGATATCATGTGTGAGTATAGGTCTGACCATGAACATGTCGCGTTTGTAGTTAGGACGTAAATGTTCTGAACGGCGCAAGGAAGAAAAGCACCTTGTCTCTCTCCTCAGTGCTACTAAGGTGGCCAGCATTTGTAAGACTGTAATTGCCTAGTGAATGTGAATTCCAGAGATGCTTAAAGTGCAATAGGATGTGCAAATTTTTGGAGGGCAAAACTCTTGGAGCAGGATGTGAATTTCTGAAGACGGGGAATCCCATATGCAGTGTTAAATGTTGAAAGAGGAGAAGATCTCTCAGTGATGCAACTCCCTGCCAAAGGGAACTCCCTTCCCCCCTCCCAATTGATGGGAAAACATTAAAAGGGGAGATTCTCTGGCCCAGCAGTGCAAAGTCTTCCAAAGAAACTGTATTTAGAATGATAAAAAGCCCAATGCACTAGCCTTTCACCTTAGGAGGCAATTAGCATCTGGATTGCTTCACAAGTGAAGTGAAGTTGGTCTTTGCTTAGGATGGGAGAGTTAATATAATTTGGAACAAATTGACCCCTTTGGTGGGGGGGTGTGGGATAAGGGAAGAAAAGCCTAAGCTGGTACTGAGTATGTAGCAGGGTAGAACTGGGCTGTGAAAGTCCTACATCTGTACCGATGGACAGTGGGAAAAGGATTAAATTTAGCATGAGACACACTGTCGCAATCAGTAACATGGGGCCTGTCTGATAGAAGAGTAATATGGAAACTTGTTGAAGGACCACGATTAAAACTGATATGGTATAAGAGGAGAGAGATATTTGTGAGAACTTCCTGTTTTCCCTTACGCGCTGTGAATCACCTTCCGTCTCCCTGCCCAACACCCAGTCTAAAGCAGGCAGTTTGGATGCTTGATAGATTTTCTTATTGTCCTGTTCTCCCTCCATTAAACTAGTCATTCCAAAAACGTAGAGGGAAAGGCATTTTGCAGCATGCATGTGAACAACTCTTCATATTAGTTGTTAGTAAAATAGGTCTTATCTATTAAAAATTTCTTATTCGTTAAAGGTTACTTATAGACTTTTCATTTACATATTTTGTTTTACTTCATGAGTGTATGAAGGTGATACAAGGACTTTTTTCACTTGTTTCTGACTTTAAAATATTGCTCGTGTCTAGTCTGGCCTGCCTTGGCTTTCCTGGAAGACATTCTTGGCTTGTGCTAGTGCTAAATTAACAGCAAATCTCACCGAAGGATCATTGGGGTGGAGTCTTCAACAAAGATACCTTTTCGGCTAACTGTTGATTGAACGTTAGAGTTCAAACAGTTTTTATCAAAATAAACCCCAAAACAAACAAAAGTCCACCAACCAGCCAACAGAATTTAAAAGAGCTGGTGTATTACAATTTTATTGGCCTAGGCATTAAGGGATGGTTAAAAGTCCTAGGGCGGATACTGTTAGATGCTGTACTTTAAACAAGTATAACTTATTTTGATTTGTGAACAAGAATAAGCTATACTAATAATTGTGTTTATGCTGGCATAACTGCTTACACACAGGAGAGATGGGGTAGAGGTTGCCTCTTAATTAGGCCAACTAAATTAAATTGCTAAAATTTGTAAGAATAGGTCAGTCGTGGTTCTGTTTAAAAATATCTGCCCTTCTCAGTTGCTTATTTTTTAGTCTCCTTAATTCCTCTGATTTTCAGTCACCCTGAGGTTCTCCAGGTTAGATGGTGTCTAGATTTTGAGTGTGCCATCCCCTGCCCCATGTATCCTGCTAAAATGGCAAAAAGATACAACCTATGTTTCTTTCCTTGGTAGGTAACCTTTAGCTGGAATGCGCAGTGGTGATGAGGGACAAGGGGAAGGCAGCCTCACGTGCAGATTTGCTGGTGATGCTTGGAAAGTTCCCTTTGATTTTAAGTACAGTGGTACAGCTGAGCTCTTGTTTTTCCTATTAAATGCAAACCTTTTGCCTGTTCTTTTTGGACTGAAAAAGTGAAGCTTCCAGATGTGGGCTGCCATCAGCAGCTGTACATGTCAGAAACTTGGGAAGCAGATGTTTTGTTTTCTTTTTCCTGGACCATTGCGTAGTGAGAGCCTGGAGAAAGAGAGTGGGTTTACGAAGCTGGCTGGCTCAGATAAAGAAGTGCATCCATCAGGCCAGGCTCTGGGTATTGTTATGGGAAGGAGGGGTGTCGAACAGCAAGCCCCCATGCTGGCTTCAGCAGATGCAGTTGCCTGACAAGGCACAGGGCTCCTCTTTTCAAATCTACACAGCATCACGCAGCAGAGGACTCAGGAGGGGTTCAGCCACGACCAGGTCAAAAGTTCAGTGGGGCATGAATGAGTGCATATGTGTGCATTGGGACATGTTTGAGGTTCATGCGCAGTCTTACAAAGACTTTTTTTTTTTTTTAAAAACA